TATATAAAGTAGCCACATGAAAAGGAAAATTCAGTATTTGCAGAGAAAAAAAAAAGCATATGAAAAAACAGAAGAAAGACTTATCAATGGAAAATGAGGTTACATTATTACACCAAACACACTGTCCAAATATACTTTGATTTTTGTCCCAAACCAGACTAGCATACTTATCAACATTATTTTGTATAAGGAAGCATACATACTACAGTAGTATTTCATTAAAAAATTGCATTTTATTTATTGCCTTTCTTAAAAGGCAGAGTGATCCAAAAGTCGAGATTTACTTTTTCACTAATATTAAAATCAGCAAAAAAAAAATCAAGCAGTTAAATAACCTTTTTATGTATTCCTTGAAAACTTGTATTGTACCAAATCTGAATTATTCCATTTTCTCATTTTAAAAATAGTCTTTGCATAAAATAATGAACAGCATTTGAAACTCTAAATCACAAGCTTATTTTCAATTGTTGGCGATGAAAAGAAGTACAGGCTTTTGAGAGACCTGTTTTTTAATGAACAGATTGGTACGTGGTGTACTACTACTTAAAAAAACAAAACAAAACCTGGACTGTTTCTAATATTGTTTGTAATGTTGGGATCTAGTTGTGCTGGGTTATTTAGGGGCATAAAGTAACGTGAAGTGCTTTGTTTTCTCTGGAACTTCCAAGCGATTACTGCATTCTGTCTGTGTGAGTGGCAGTTCTAATGGCCGTGTGCGCTGTCACAGTGAAGGGATCATTAGAAACTGCAAGAAACAAGCACGTAACTTAAGTAAGATCCGGGTACGAATCAGCTTCAAATTTAAAGAGAGTTTTCACATGGGCTTCGCTAAGCCGTTAAAATTCATTTTGAGTCCTCCCTCCGTGCCTCCTATTGATTTGACTTTGCTAACACAAAAAAACTGGTCATTTAAAAAAAAAAAAAAAGAAAAAATTTTTTCCACTTCTCAACTCCTCAACTTTCTCTCTCTCTTCTCTCTCTCTTTTCCTCTATTTTTTCCCTTCCTTTCTCTTTCCCCTCTCTTTTTCTTTCTCTCCTTCTTTCTCTCTTCTCTCTTCAGGACGTACAGTGTTGTAATGCCCTTGGACTACCCCAGAGTTACACTTACACCCTTGTTAGCGCTGCTGTAGTCATGTTCAGGTAAATAGTTGCTGCACATGAACACAAGAAATCTTACATTGAGTGAATAGTGAGTCCAAAGTTTATTAGACACAAGTAACTTGCAGCAAATGCGATACGTGTCGGCGCGTCAGCAGTAAGTGCAGCCTGTCCCATTTATGGCTTTAGACTTGCTGTCCGTGAGGGGTCGGGATCAGCTGAGACTATGGGCCTTTGAAACTTGAGCAATCTCTTTGCAACCCATAAATACCTTACTCAGAAAGTTAGATGGGGGTCCTGTTAGTGCTTCATAGATAAGTAAAACAATGATAGATGAGAAAAACAGCTGAACTCAGTTGTTAGTGGCTGTGCACAATACGAGCAGTCTTGGTGAAATCCTTTGAAACAAAAGAAATTATTAAATCAGTTACTATTTAGGTCAATTACTCAAAAGAAACCATTCATAGAGTGCCCTTGAGACTGGCAAGCCAAAGAGTATCAGGAATTTTAAACTCGGATCTCACCATTATTCTCACTTAACCAAAGCTATCACATTCCCAGGAATAAATTACGTAAAGATTTGACTGTCTAGCCCAGAAGGTGTTTAGCACTGAATCAAAACAGTATTTCTTCCATTTAAGATAAGCGTGTTAAAAATGTGAAACAAGTTTTGTAGTAGTGCGTTACAACTTCATTGTGGTTTTAGCCATGTACGGTGATACTATTGGCTGAATTTTAAGAGTGGTTTGTTGACAATGCTATGGGACTGCTTTTTGCCTGTTTTGTTCACAGAAATCCCCAAAGCAGAGATGAGGACAAGAGAAGAATCTATGGCAATGTTTTGTTGCATTTATTTAGATGTATTTAGTCTCAGATGCTTGTGTTTTGTCCTCAAGTAATAGAAAAATGAGAAAAAAATTCAAGTACTGTAATAAATATGAATATGTCATTGAATAAAAACCCCAATTACAATATTTTTCAAATTATCTATACTGTTTTTAAGCATCTCTTCACTAAATTTTAAGTTCAATAAATTTTTACTAGTATAGTATTAGAAAGATCAAACTATTCAGCAAATTATTACGATATCAGATTCTTTTAACAAGATTTTCCTTAAGAAAAGTCAAAGTAAAGCTGTTGGGACATATGTCTCATATTTCTACATGTGTTTTCTTCTGTTAGCCTGTTGGACTTGTCATGGCGAGGACAGTGCAGATGTTGCTTCTTGCGTTCTGCACATCAGGGTGACTGAGGAATGTTTCTTTGCATTATCAACAATAGAGCATTGTCTTACCATTTCCTTTTATTTTTGTATTTGTAGTGTAATTGCACAAAAGTCTACAAAATAGTATTTATTAAGAGAACAATTTCAAAAAATCTTGTCTGCCTGAGAAGATGCTGTAGTAAGCTAATATCATGGAAATACTCAGAAGTTCTATCTCAGAGTAAATCCTTCTTTTAACTATAGTAACAAGGAATGAAACGTTCTTTCAGAAACTGTCGAAATCAGGCCAGGCAGCATAAAGTTTAGCAATCATCAAAACACAAAGCTGTTTTTTTTCTCTGAAATGATAGACAATACCTTCATATGGAGTAATAGGCTTTTGCATTGAACAGTAGCGGGAAGACCTGCAGAGTAACTGGCAGGTTTTGCTCAGTAGGTGCTGTGTTCATCTGTTTCTGTGTTCATAATTGTGATATCTCGATATCTGAATTTGATGAGATAGTATTGAATTAGGATCAGAGCTAGGAATTGTTAATCTAAATGCTCATGTATCTTCTCAAACTTCAAGCAAGTGTTTGTCCCACCAGTGTTAACATGCTTTACAGTTTAATAAATATTACAGGGCCAAAGAATTGGACTGAATAGTTCGGACATAGAGAAGTCAGCTTAGCCGCGAGATGTTCAGAGGGCTAAGAAATGGGGGCGTATCTTGAGTCTTCCTTTCTCCTTAATCTAAAATTCTAAAACTAACTCTCGCAGTTTTAAGTGCTGAATGTCTTCTGACTTTGTTTTGGCTTTTCTAAGCGTGCAGTT